TTATGTTTTATTTTTAAGAAAATCATCAGTCAGAATAAAGCTATCGGTCCACCAGACAGTTGTTAAAGCTAGAAGAAATATTTGCAATATTTTTCATATAACTTTTTATAGGTCCTTTTTTTCAGGGAAAGGTTTTTCAGTGCTCATCTTCAGTCTGTACAGTGCTGAATTTACATAGAAATGGTTCATTTACATTATATTACTTTTCAGCTGCAGCGGTATGCACTCAGAAGAAATTAATGTTTGTGAAAAGCAGTCGCTTGCATAATCACGTGTTTTCAGATATTAAAATAGGAAAACAAAATGTGCTTTTTACATTTAAATTAATAGTAGCCTGGTTTGGGTTAGTTTTGAGGTATATTTTTCTATGCATGTAATATTTTTTTATAATAACTATCTTGAAACATATTAAATTAACTAAAAATGGTCGGTTATTCACGTAAAAATACTGAGAAAAGCTCTACTAGTTCCTAGGAAATTCATATATCGGAGGGGCAGGGGGTCTTTTTTTCATGAGGAACAGCTCCTCTGTGGCTAGTAGTAGAACCTTGTTCAATATTTTCACGTGAGTAACCCGTGATTTTTAATTAATTTTTCATGTAAAAAACCGAAGATAGAAATTAAACTTTGATTTAAAGTAAATTCTGTTAGTTATTAACTAATTATTCGGTAATAATGTTTTATAACATGGACTTCAAATCTTCCTAACTATGCTTGAGAGTATTAATAGAGCTGATGTTGGTTTTGCAGACATATACCTAGATATATTTTTTAAATTATCAAACAACAATGTATTTTCTCGTTACAGTGGTGGATGGAACAAAGCGTCCGTTCCGTTCATCCGTCCGTTTTTATTTGCAAAACCAAACCGTGAAATATGAAATAACAAATTGGATGAAACATATAATTATGGGACAAGCTGAAAAGCATAGATTTGCCTCAGCAATTTGTTAACATCTTTCAATATTGGTATGAGCACCAGCTCAATAGTGTTAGGTGGGCGGGAGCAATGTCGGATCCATATCGACTCGAGTGCGGAGTGAGGCAGGGTGGTTTGACTTCCCCAACCCTCTTCAACCTGTACATCAACGGGCTGATAGCAGAGCTTAGTAGTCAACATGTCGGCTGCCACATTGATGGTGTGTGTGTCAACAACCTAAGTTACGCGGACGACATGGTGCTACTGAGTGCTTCGGTGTGTGGTTTGAGACGGTTAATACGGACGTGCGAGGAGTATGCAGGTGGCCACGGTTTAATATACAATGTTAAGAAGAGTCAGTACATGGTGTTTGAGGCGGTGGGGGCGAGATGTCCGAGTAGTGTGCCACAGGTTAAGTTAAATGGTATCCATCTTGCTCGTGTTGACAGTTTTAAATATCTGGGGCATATACTCACCACGGACCTTAGGGATCATGCTGACATGGAAAGGGAGCGTAGGGCATTGTCTGTTAGAGCAAATATGCTCGCCCGTAGGTTTGCGCAATGTTCGAGGGGGGTAAAAGTTGCGCTTTTTAAAGCGTACTGTACTTCACTGTACTCGTGCAGCTTATGGGCTGATTATAGTCAAACTTGTTACAGTGCACTCCGCGTCCAATATAATAATGCGTTCAGGGCAGTGTTGGGGCTATCCCGTCGTTGTAGCGCGTCGGGAATGTTCATGGAGGCGCGCACTGACGGCTTTCATGCGACTATGCGTAAGCGAGCTGGCGCTCTCGTGCGCAGAGTGCGGGCTAGTTCCAACAATGTCCTGGCAATGATAGCGCAGAGACATGATTGTCTCATAATTAGGAATTGCTGCGACAGGCATATTTCAGTGCATATACCACCGAGAGTGCTTTAGTATGTCTGTTTTAGTACCAACATACTGCATGTGTCTGTTTTCCGTGTGTGTATTTAATTTGTATTTGTTTTCTGTATTGTTTTGTCTGTTTAAATGTGCTTACTAACATATTTTTGTAAAGATGTTTCGTATTTTTGATTTTTGATTTTGTTACTAACACAGTGGACCATTGATGTCTTAAATAAATAAATGATTGATTGATTGATTGATT